TGCCCTGTGCTATCAATAAATCAGGTTCCCAGCCCCAAATGTTAGAATCTTCTCATTTGCCAGCTCCAAACATACAAGCTCCAAAACATTGCCAGCTCCAGAACACACAAAAGGTTACACAGTTACAGCAGGTACACAGGTGGAGGGGAACCCAACCCAGCAGCCGGTGCTTTGTCCTGTGTGCCAGTGAGCCCAACTGTCCACTTGGGGAGAAAACTCCGACCCACTGTCCTGCCCCAGTGTCTATGAGTAAGAGGAGGGACCCATCTGAAGGAAACCCTGCTTGATGGGATGAGCAGGCCGCCAGGGAGTCCCTGCCTCTCCTGAGGGCAGCCTCCAAACAGCTAGACGTAAGAGGCTCTGACTCTTTGTTTTGCTGGAAGTAAGCAAGCCCAGAAATTGAGATTAAGCCCTGATCGGGAGGGCAAAGGGTCTGCACTGGTTGGTCTCCCTGTCAGACAGCAGTCTTGTCTTGCTGCTCTAGAGATAAAGGGGGGAGGGGGAGGAATGGCAGGGAAGGAGTGTCAGGGGCAGGGTGGGAGGAGAAGAAACAGGGTGGGGGTAGAGCCTCTGCTCCGTTTCTCTGAACTCTAGATGACCAAATCGCCACACCCCTCTTTTCAGCCCAGGAGAAACATGGGATGCCTGGATGGATGTCCAAGCCCGGTGCTCCTGGGGGTTGTGGATCTGTGTTGCAGCTGCTTGATCCTCCTGCCTCTCCTTGTGCAGGCTCCCCATTGTCCACAAGGCCCGCCTCACAGAGATCTGCAGAGGGAGCGAGCACCGCCCTTTGGTTCTGGGACAGGACAAAGTACTCACCTGGGGATTAGGGGACTCAGAGGCAGTCACATCCACGTCCAGGCCACTCCCCACCACGACCCTCGCATCCTGGCACACCCTTAGCAACTTGATGCAGTTGTCCACAAAGATGAATATCTTCACTTCCTCTTTGCCTGTTTGGATACCCCTGATTTCCTTCTCTTGCCTGATTGCTCTGGCTAGGTCTCCAGGCACTATGTTGAACAGGTGGTGAGAGAGAGCATGTCCTTATCTTGTTCCCATTCTTCAGGGGAATGATTCCAACTTCTGCCCTCTGAGCAAAATGTTGGCTGTCGATTCTTACTGTTTTGAGGAATATTCCTTCCATGTATAGGGGTTCAAGAGATTTTCATCAAGAAGGGATGCTGGATTTTGTCCAGTGCTTTTTCTGTGTTTAACAATATAATCATGTGGTTCTTGGTTTTACTTCTGTTAATGGGCTGTAGATTACATTGATGGAGCTCTGAGTGGTGAACCGCCCTACATTCTAGGAATGAACCAACCTGGTCATGGTGGATGATCCTTGAGTTGTGTTGTTGGTTCCGATTTGCTAGAATCTTGTTGAGAATGTTTGCATCGATGTTCATCAACAAGATTGACCTGCAATTTGCTTTCTTGTTGGGTCTTTGCCCAGTTTGTGTATCTGCACAACTTTAGCTTCATAAAATCAGTTGGGGAGAGTTTCATCACTCTCAATAGCCTAGAAAACTTTCAAGAAGATTGGTGTCAGCTCCTCTTAGTATGTCTCATCGAGTTTAGCTGGGAAGCTATTTGGCCCATGGCTTTTTGGGTGGGGATATTTCTTTGACTGAGTCCATTTCCTGGATTGTCATTGGTCTCCTTAGAGTTTCAATTTCTTTTTGTTTCAACCTCAGGAGGTGGTGTGTTATAAGAGAGTCCTCTATTTCCTCTAGGTTTCCTAGTCTATTTGCATACAGGTATTCATAGTAATCTGTGATAACCGTTTGCATTTCTTCAGGGTCAATTATGACTTCGACTTTTGTGGTTCTGCATGTGTTTATTTGGTCTCTCTCTCTCTCTCTCTCTCTCTCTCTCAGCCAATCTGGCCAGTGATCTGTTAACCTAACTTATCCTTTCAAAGAATCAGTTTTTTGGGTATGAAAAACAACCAGTCTAAATCTGCCAATTCCACTCTACGGTTATTATCAGCGATGTTGGTTAGTGAGGGTGATCTGACAGAGCAGAAAAGAATCATTAAATCTGATACGTCTCACTTGCGATTAGCTGTTGGTAGTGCCATAATGAAGCTTGCTCAAGAACCTTGTTACCATGAAATTATTACCCCAAACAGTTCAACTCTGTGCACTTGTTATTAATGATGAGTGTTATCAAGTAAGGCAGATATTTGCTCAGAAGCTCCACAAGGCACCTGTGAAGTTGCTGCTCCCCCTGGAGTACATGGAAATCTTTGCCTTGTGTGCCAAAGATCCAGTAAAGGAGAGGAGGGCACATGCACTAAAAATATCAGTATATGCAGGGAGTACATTAAACAGAACCCTATGGCTACTGAGAAATTA